TTCGGGCCCTGCAGGGCCTTTCTCGTGAAATAAATAAGCCTTTGTCCCTCCGGGGTTTCCCTTATTAGTTTCGCGCTTATTGCCTCAGAGGCGATAGTTAGATAAAGGTAGAGGACTTCGTCTTTCCTGGGCCGAGATAAGACGAGTGGCTGTGAGAGCCCTCTTTTCAAATGGGAGAGGGCTCGCTCGCATTTGGGTGTCCACTCGAAGATGGCTTCCTTGTGCAGGAGTTTGAACAAGGGGAGCGTGTGCTGGGCGGATTTTGCCACGAACCAGGAAAGAGGAGTGAGCATTTCGTTTAAGATCTGGATGGATTTCTTCGAGGTGGGCGTCAGAAATTCGGAGAAGGCCAAAAGTTTATAGGGGTTCACCTCGATTCCTCGTTCTGTCAGATAGAACCCGAGGAACTTTCCTGCTCGTACGCCGAAGGTGCGTTTTTCCGGGTTGAATCGCATCTGACACTTTCAGGCTTGCTCGAACACCTTTTTCAAATGGGCGGCATGGTCGAGCTCTTTGGTGGAATTGACGATCATTTCGTCCATATAGACTTCGAGCATGTCGCCTATTTTGTTGCAAAAGACTTTGTTCATCATGTGCTGGTAGGTAGCGCCTGCGTTTTTTAGGCGGAAGGGAATTACGTTGTAGTAATAACTGCCTGACTCAGTCATGAAAGCAGTATATTTTTGTCTGTTTTTGCCATGGGAATCTGGTTGTAACCAGAGTATGCGTCCATGAAAGATAACAGTTTAAAACCGGCCAAATTGTCGACCAATTTATCAATATTGGGGAGGGGATAAGAATCTTTTGGGCAAGCCCGATTGAGATCAGTATAGTCAATACACATTTTCCATTTTCCATTAGATTTTTTAACGATGACTACATTTGAGAGCCAGGTTATGTACTAGGCTTCAAAAATAAAATGTGCCTCTAGGAGGTCTTTTACAGATGATTTAGCAACCTTTGACTTCTCAGTCGACTGCTTTCTTCTACGTTGTACGACCACCTTGATGATGGGATCAATGGTCAGGTGATGGCATGAGACCTCAGGGTCTAAACCGGGCATCTCGTCCTCACTCCAAGCAAAGAGATCAGTATTTTCCCACAGGCAAGCTTTGAGTTGCCTTTTAGCCAGGTCGGGGAGGTCCGCTCTGATCTTTACTCCCCTGGTGGGGTCTTCTCCGAGGGGAACCAGCTCGAAGTCACCGTCGGGGATAGGCCGTGCGTGACTCGAGAGCTCGCTATGGCCAGCAGAGGAGGTTGACCCTTCGTCTTCGACCATAGGCTCCTTCCCCTTCTTCCTTTGCTCGACCATGTCCTCCATGGAGAAGCGATTGTCGAGGTTAATGGTGTCAACCCTCAGCAGTGGCCTGGATTCCTCGGAGCTGGAGGGCAGTATGGCTCTAGTGGTCGCCCGAGGTTGGGCGTTGATGGAGCTAAGGCTCTTCGCAAAAGTTTCGAAGCACCTCCTGGCTACTTGGATGTCCCCATGAAGAGTTGCAACCAAACCTTCGGCCGTGTAGTATTTCATCTTGAGATGAATGGTGGAGGGCACCACGATGAACTCGGCGAGAGTGGGTCTCCTGAAGATGCATTGGTAGAGAGATGGGCAGTCCACCACTAAGAATTGGGTCTTGATGGCTCTGGCCGTTATCCCCCTCCCAAAAGTGACGATCAGCTCTATGTACCCCATGGCTTCGTGCTGGCCCCGTTGAAACCTTGAAGATCAGAACCCATGTAGGGGGTTAGGTGGCTCTCGTTCAGCTGCAAAGTATTGAATAGTTAGGCGTACATAATGTCCACCAAATTTCCCTGGTTGACCAAAATGCGACGCACGTCAAAGTTAGACATTTGAGCTCTCACGAGTAGTGGGATGCTCGAATTCGGGGCTCCTCCCGGTAACTCTTCCCTGTAGAATGCAAGGGGGTGAGACCCTCCTCGAAACTTGTTGAACGTGGAATCCATTTCAGAGTTGGCCTCGATGAGTTGGTCGAATCTTATCTTCACCGATCTGACTGTATGCCTGTTGAACCCTCCGCCGGAAATGGTCATGGCTGCGGGGAAGGATTCCCACGGACTGTGGGTGGAGAAGTACAGGGGGACATTCTCCATGTCCGTAAAGTAGAAGTCTTCCGGCCGTGAGATGCTCAGGGCGACCAGAATGGTGTCGAGGTCGGGGGATTTCTTCCCTTCTTCGACATTCTTGGTCTCTGGTGCTTCGTCAAGGGCGGTCTCTTTTTTATTATACTGCTTGAGGTGTCTGTCTCTGATCAGTATTTCGATAGCATCCTTGAGATGGATGTAATCCTCTGTGTTGTGGCCGTGACTCTTGTGGAACCTGTAGTACTTGCTCTTGTCGGTCCCTGGCTTTGACGATGTTTGTCGGGGGAAGTGCACCCCGGCTTGCTTGAATTCAGAATTAGCGCATTCTGAAAGAATACGCTCTCTTGAAGTTGTAAGGGGGTGTAGTCGTTGAAACGACATGCTGGCCCCTTATAGTCTCTAGGATCACGGGGTTTGTCTTCCCGTTTCTTCTCCCCCCAACGAGATGTCGAGGGTTCATCAGTCTTCGAAGGTTTGGCATTCTCCCTGTGCCTGGATTCTCGGGCGTTGTTGGCCGCTTCCTTCTCTTCGTATTGTATGTACGCCTGGGCCTTTAAGAGAAGAGAATCGAGCGTGGTTGGTGTTTCTATGCCCACAGCTCTGGCAAAGTCGTTGTGGGGATGGAGCCCGCGCTTGAGTAGGTATTTCTTCATATTGTGCATTGTCGGGACCTGGACCGCTTCTTTGTTGAAACATTCAATGTATGCCCGTAAAGATTCGTCCCTGCCCTGTATGATCGCTTCGAGCGAAGCTTCTGATTTAGTGTGTCGGCGGGAGGCAGTGAAATGCCTTGAAAACATTCTCCCTAGTTATTTCCATAAGGTGATGGATTCGTCGGGCAAGCTTTTGTACCATACCACCCTCCTCTTCCTGAGAGTGGTCGGGAAGAGTCTGCATTTGATGGCGCCTCTGACCCCTCTGTAGTCGAGGAGCGCATCGATGTTCTCGATGTGCTCGTTAGGATTTGTCGTACCGTCGTAGGTCCCTAGAGTGGGTGGCTTTTCTAGGACGATATGGAGTGGAGCTTCGGTGATCTCCACTATTGACGGGAGATGGAGAAGGAGAGTGATAGTTTCTCCCCCGTCGGTCGTGACGGTCCCGTCAAGGGGAAGGGCTCCTTCATTTCTGCTTTGGGTCAGGAGAGGGAAATTGAGCGCGGTCGATCTGCCTGTTGTCCCTCCTCTTCTTGAATGAATGAGAGTCTTGATCTCGGGCAGGAGGTGTGCGATTGTGTTTCTTGAAGAAAGAAACGTTGCGCCTTTCGTTTTTGGGCGGTGGACCACGCCTGGGTGGTGATGCATTGGGAGAGTTCGTCTTCGGGCTCTCCGAGGAGGAGATCTTGAGCGTTTGTTCTCCAAGGCCCTTATCCTCTAATTTTGTTGAAGGATGGGGGCGTTGATCTGATTTAAGGTAGTGAGCAGTGCTGCTATGGTCGGGTCGGTGTTGACAGGGATAGGAACCGATTGCAAGATTTCTGGCAGTTCCTCAACAGGATTCTTGGAATGTCCTTCGTTTAAGAGTTGGTCGTCACTATGTCGGGCATCAGCGGAATCAGGGGACGTGGTTTGTCCGTCACGAAAGCCCAGGTTGTCCTCAAGGTGAGGGTGTTCTTGGCTTCTATCAGTCTTGCAAGCGGGGGAAAGGATGGTCTTTTCGGACATGTAAAGATCATTATGGTCGGCCATGATAAGAGAGATGGATCTTGAAAGAAGAGTTGCTTTGATCTTAGGTTCCGAGGGAAGAAAGATGGGGATAGCAGATTCTCACAGACGGCGCCACTGATCTTGATGGTTGATCAGAACCTGGAGGGTGGCCGAATGATGATCTTCAGTCGGGCTGAAGAGAGAGGGGGGTTGTACCTGCAAGGTACTCCAACGATCAAGTAAGAGGGAGAGCAAGGAGGTACTAGCAAAATATCAGGTAGTGAATAGTGAATGTGATACTTGGCCTCACAGGTGTGTGGGTTTATATAATGTCCCTGGCGCGTGGCCATTGGTTCCTGATTTCCCGCCTAGATATGCGGGTCAGGAAAATCAGATAATTGTCAGGACTTGGTCAAACGGAACAAATGTGCTTGTAACTAGCCGTTGGTTTCGGGGAGGAGGTTGGTTGCGGGCATCTCTCTGGCCGGTCCCTGGTGGCCTGCACGACGCTGGTATCGGGCAGACTGAGAAGACGCCCGACGGACATCTTGGATCGGCGCTGGACCAGAAGAGCAAGAGGGTGACATTGCCCGACAGGTGCGGACAGTCCGGATTACGGTCAGCGGGTGGCACCTATGTGATGTCTTAGACCGGGCCCACTCAAGCTTTCGGGCCGGTCCAATACACTTTTTTTTTTAAATTTCTACAAATTAAATTAACGTGAAATTTATTTATTTAAGCATAATTTATTTTTTAAATTAAAAAAAGGTCAAATTTTTAAATTAAAATTTCAAATTAACGAGAGATTTCTTAATTTAAATATAATTTATTTTTTAATTAAAAAAATGTCAAATTTTAAAATTTACAAAATAATATTAACGTTAGATTTATTAATTTAAATTTTATTTAATTTTTGAATTAAAAAAAAGTCAAGTTTTTTAATAAAAAACATTATTAATTTTAATTTTAATGCAAATTATAATTATGTAGTTTTTTTATTTTTCAATTTGGAAGGGATGGTTCATGGTTGCAACCTTTCATTTCATCAGCAAGCCATTAATTGAATGCTAATAATATCTCAAATCATTTAATCATTGGCTGCAACATTTTAATTGTCTAATAGCATCTTTTACTGTAGATTTGACTCAATGGTATTACCAAAACATAAAATGCAATATTGGGAATGTTATATGGCCATATATCTCTGTGAACAAAAGAAGAGTGAATTCAAAATATTATTCATTCACTTGAAAAAAAATGGCAAAAAAATATGAGGGACCTGCTATAGGAATTGATCTTGGCACAACCTATTCATGTGTTGCTGTATGGAATGATCAAAACAATAGAGCAGAGATCATACACAATGATCAAGGAAACAAAACCACTCCTTCTTTTGTTGCTTTTACGAATGATCAAAGGTTGATTGGCGAAGCTGCTAAAAATCAAGCTGCTTCAAACCCAACAAACACTGTTTTTGGTAATTTACCTTTTTTATCTTCCTCCATTGTATATACTTTGTTTTTTTAGTTAGTTTTATGCTGAGTTTTGATGAGAACAAAACAAACTCTTATTGCTGCAGATGCAAAGAGATTGATTGGAAGGAAATATAATGATTCAGTTATTACAATAACAAATGAGAATATGGAAGATTGTCGAGGGAAGAAATTGAGAGAATGATACAGGAAGCTGAGCACTTCAAGTCCGAAGATATGAAGCATGTGAAGAAGGCTAGAGCAATGCGTGCTTTAGATGACTATGTGTATAACATGAAGAAAATAATGAATGATAATAGCAGCGTAACTTCCAAGCTCACTGCCGTTGACAAAGTGAAGATCAGTTCTTCAATTGTAAAGGGAGAAGAATTGATTGATGACGATGACCAAGAAACATTTGTGTTTGTGGACGTTCTGAGGGAGCTTGAGAGAATCTTTGAATCCGCTATGAAAAAGATCAACAAATGTTACTCTAATGATGAAAGTGATTCTGATTCTTAATGCTCAATTTTTATTTATTTCATTTCTGCTTTTTATGAATTTTATGTCTAATGTTGGACCTGTTTGTTTTGTTTTTTGGATTATGTATTTTGATAAAATATGAACATTTGAGCTTGTTTCTTTTAATCTTATCTGATCCAAAGTGTCTAGCAGATTTGAGATAATGCATGAAATTCACTAAAATCTTTATAAATAGTAAACTCAGGATTAACCAAAATGTACAGAAGTAATTGCTATAACTGTAAGAGGACTAAGGCTCTTCTGTTTTGAAGTTCTTTCAATGATATGATTTATTGCAGACATAGGATGAAACTTCTCAATGGTTCTGTTCCTAGTGAGTATTTAAATGCTCTATTCAATACATTGTGATTTTCAATATTATGAAGCTTAGATACTTAGTGTGTATTGTTTATTCTATTCTATGACCATGAAGCTTAGATAATTTAATAATGGAGTTTGATTCTATGATTAGGAAGCCTAGATATATACTTCAAAAATTGATTCTGTGATTCTAATATGCTGGTCATACTCCTTGATATGTACTCAATATGTATTTACAATTCTTGCCTTATGCATCTTTTATACTTCTTTGATACTTTTATACAAAAGTCTTTTTAAGTTAAAAATGTAAGCACAAACTGTGAGCAGTGATGCCAACTTCATAGAGAAAATGCATGAGGGACTTTTTTTTATCCTCTCTGGAGTAAGAGACAAATGTACATTCTCTAAAATGTGATTGTCCATTTTTCATTGGCGCTTTTGCTTTTTTTAACATAATAAAATTGGTGCATCATACATGAGAGTGATTTTGGGGTATTTTTTTTACAATACAGAGACACATAACATATTAACCTAAAACTTTAAAAGTACTAGACGTGTGGGTTATCCCCCTTATAAATGTTTAAATTTTCATATTTTTAATCAATGTGGGACTTTTTTATTGAAATATTAAATTAGATTTGTTAAAATATTATATTATATTATATTATATTATATTATATTAGATTAAATTTAATATTGGGTTGTATATAAATAATCCTAGTCTGTATCATTATTTGTACAATTTAATAATACAAATTCTTATTTCATTATTCTCTCTTTATTCTCTTCTCACTAAAAGTGTTTCACGCACTAACATTGTCCACACTACTCACACTTCCCTCGAGTGGAAGTTCTTTTGTCCACATACACTTGTATGCCTGTTAACACTTCCGGACCTCGATCTCCGGACATCCCTAACAAGTGGTATCAGAGCTTGATTGTCTCAGTGGAGGAACGGAAGTGGATCCTAGTGTGGATCAAGGCTAGTGATGTGGGTAATTCACACTTGTGAAAAATATTGTTGGATTTCAAGTGTGAAAGTTGTGCTAAAGTCCCACATCAACTAAGAATGGAGGAAATATTGGGTTGATAAGAGAAGTGACACATATCTCATTTGCATTAAGATTTTGGGTGGATATGCTGTGACAAGGTCACATTTGTGAGGGAGATTGATGTGTGAGAAAGTTGTGCAAAGTCTTACATAAACTAGGAATGGAAGAAATGTTTTAGAATTTAAAATTCTAACCAATTTAAATGATTAAATTTTATTTTATTTAATTTTAAATTTTTTATTTTGATAAAATATTAAATTATTTATTGTTAAAATGTTAGAGTTATGTATTTGCAATTTTTGGTGGAGAATTTGAAACTTTCAAAAATTATGAGGGCCATTTTACAAAATTTTAAACATTAATAATAAACAATTTCACATTTACATTATATAAAATAAAAAAGCAATTTCAAATTTTAATTTTTTGGTGTCATTTGAAACTCCTTAAATTTATCTCAAACAAAATACTTTATAAATTTTCATTATTTTAAGAATTTTTCATATTATTATCCTAACAATAGATTTTGGTCAAATCATTTTAAATTTTTTCAAAAAATTATTTTTCTCTCATTAAATTGCTTCATCGAAACACGCTGTTAGAGTGTGCTAGATGAGGTAATTGAAAAGTTTTAAAGAATTTAAAATTTTAAGTAATTTAAATAATTCAATTGAAATTCATTCTTTTTAAAATTCTTTTGTTTTGATAGAGTATATAGTGTTATATTTGTCAGAATTCCAACAAGGACGATCCCTGAGTCTTCGCCTAGTAAGGCATCACCTATGAGCCATATTTACTAATTATGTGGTCTCCCCCTTGGGATCGGGTGACATGTGTAATATATTTTTCTCCCACTAAGGCATACCATAATGAGTCATGCCACAACTCCCTTAATAATAGGTGATCAACAAAGGGGAACATGTATCGCCTCCCAGAGTTTCCTAAGTCTTAGTCCCAAGGGCTTCTATAAATATTTCTCCTCTAACAGAAGAAAAAGGCATATCATAACATGCATGAAATATCCTAAACATTATGCTGATATATAAAGTCTTTCACCTCACATGAGTAGGTCCTCTAAAACCATCATAACACCATCATACTAGGGCTTATCACCACTGTAGGAAATAAATTATTTTAAACCTACTAAGGCCGCTGAGTATCTCCTACACTTTTAGAGATACCATTTACTTATGTACTTTTTTAATAGTATAGTGAATCCACTGTAGGGTCCCAATAAAGCTAACATGGGTCACACATTTTTCATTACAATCACTATACTCACTATTATCGTCTACTTCTATACCTATCCATTCTCAACCATGGTGTTGTACCCCAAAATTTGCCCTCCCATTTCATCAATATTTTCTCATCACAAGACCCTTGGAGCTCAAGATCAAGTTAGGGTTGCTCTGCTCAAGACTCCTCCTTGCCCTGTTGACCCAAATTAGGGTTTGAGTTTGCACAAAGATGTTTTGACCTAAAATGCCCAAAATGACTTTCATGCTTCATGTTGGACTCACAAGTTTATCCATACCAAGTTTCAAGCCTTGATTCCAATCTTTGCCCAGTCAATTGGATAGTTGACCTAGAAATCAGCTGTATTGGGGAAAAAGTCAACTGTGGTCAATTGACAGTCAAACCTCATGATTTTTGACCCATATCAACATTATGAACTCATATTAACCATTTGATCAAGTTTGGATCACAATTCCACAAGAAACTTGATCAGATCACCAAAAGGGCAAAATGGTCATTTTTAGGGTTTTGACTGCACAAAGGCAATTTTTGGCTGTTTGACCTAGCCAATGGAAAACCAAGCTCACATATGGACTCAAGGACTCAATGACATGGTCTTGACACATTCAACAAGTTCAAAAGATCCCAAATGCACAAGATTGACAGATGAATTTTTCAGTCAACTAATCAAAATTTGACTGTATACTGAAAAGTCAAACTTTGACTTTTTGGTCAAAATCAAGTGCCAAGATTCATTTTTCATCAAGACATGTCAAATTATGAAACTTGTTCATCAAGAAATCAAAAATTACAAATTAGGGTTTGAAATGAAGGAATTTCATAACTTAGAAATTTTCTAAGTTATGAAATTTCCTAATTTTTTCCTAACTTTGTCCCATCTTTTCATCAAGATACATTTGGATTCAAACAAAACTCAAAACATGAAAGTTATAGTCCATTGCAAAATATAAAACTTTGATTCACAAAGTTTCCTCAAAAGAGGCTTGTAGCTCAAGTTATGATTTTTGGAATAGGGGTGCAAAACATTCTTAACTTAGAAATTTTTTGACCTATTTTAGGCAGGATTTTTGCCCAACTTCATGGCCACTTTTCACATGCTTCCACTTGGAATTTCAACTTGCATTATAAAGATGGATTATAGTACACATTCCAAGATTTCCAAATTGTCCAAGAACTTCTCAAACACCCTTGTGGTTAGGGAGATTCGAATTGGCAAAGTTGGGCAAAATCCACTTTTGTTCATGACCAAATGCATGTTCATAACTTGGGCATTTTTGAAATCAGCTTGTACAAGCTAGATTACAGGCCTCTAATCCTTCTTACACTCAATAATTAAATTCATATCCTTTGTGTTAGAGTGTTATTTTATGCATTTGGACAATACACACAAAATCAAGCCATATTTGGAAAAAGCATTTTATCCATTCTTGTAAAGCATGGCTTTATGTCAAAACACAAATCAAAGAAGTACAATGCAGATCTTCTAGGAACAAGTTTATGGACTAATCCCACTGATCAAGGAGAGATTATGCAGCATGCTTGAGGGGCCTGTGGTAGCCTATAATCAAGTTTGACAAACTTTGCTTAAAAGAGAAGAAACTTTGCAAAACTAAACATAACTTACATTCCTGCAAGCAAGAACTAAAGCAAACTTTCTCCACACATTGCATACTCCCTAACCAACCTAAAACACGACCAAACCATCTCTCAAACCTCCATATACAGAAAAACACAGTTTTGTGGCAAAACAGGGCATAGGCTACAACTTGAATCCCACAGCCTCATTCCATCGTGCGTTTTCATCCAAACCAGTTCAAACACATTCCCTACCATCCATACAAACTATCCCAAGCCTTGGAAACAGACTGTAACACCTCTAACCAAGTGTTCCATTTTCACTTTTCTCTCTTGCAGGTTGACTTCTGTAGCTTGATACAGCAAGATTCAAAGCACACCAAGCATTGGAGAAGCATCCCTGAACTTCAAGCAAGCTGTACAAGTCCTCACACTGCAGTGAAAGTGCCTCCATTGTTGTACACGATTCAAGCTGAACAGGTAAAAGTTTGAACTTCTATCTCTCTATCCAGGCATATCTAGGCTTAGGTTTATGAAGAAGTTATGTCCTACTCATGGCCTTGAAGCTACCCATATCATTACTTTTCATTTATGTTGTGTATACTGAGAGAATTTGGAACCTGAACATTAGAAAAAACTTAGGTCAGGAATTGGGGATGAAGAAATTCTCCTTCGTTTCTTAGAGTTAAGTCAAGTTCTTTATATGTGTGGATTCGTCTCTTGATGCTCAACATTTTTGGTGTTATGAGTTTTGCTTAAAAGTCGAGGAATCAGGAGTTAGGAAACGCGCGTTGTTGT